AAAATAAAAGATTAATTCAAGGGGAGCGTTGGCGGGTGCAGCTCCAGAAGTGTCTGGAACTCTGTGGCCGACAAACTGACGGGTTTCTCATTGGTTCTGCTGCCGGGAGCCAATCAAATAAAACTGCGCCGTCTACTCACATTTTAATAAAAACGTTAATAAATGCTCCGGTCGTGCTTACATTCCTATCATTTTATCACTTTTATATCTCCTTACGTCATACACGTGTACCCGGACAACTGCTAGATCAAATTCTCTGATGTGAGTTTAGTAAAAGTTTTGACTGGAAGCCGGGTGATTCTTTAATGAAAGACCGTTCAGAAACTGGGTCCATTCCTATTTAGACGTATAAATTACGAACTTCTACAGGAATGTCAGGCTATTTTTAGTAGAGCAGAGTTCTGCAGAGAATTTCAACTGTGGTCTGCAGAGTCAAACAAGTGAACACTGTAGCATAAACACCCCAACGACAGGGGTGTATGCTCAGTCCGCGTAAGAGGCCCTGTAGAACGCGAGAAGAACAGAAAGGACCAGTAAGCAACGCGTGACGAAGGACACGGGCCGGTAACGGTGGTAGAGAGGGTCGGGTCGCGAACGCGTTAGTGTACGCGGTAGAGCGGATCAACGAACTCGTTCCGGACCCATTCATTCTGTTTCGCTTCGAACCTGTTGCCGGGTTGAGCGGCGAGTATTCCCAGGTAAAGAATCAAAATGAACTTTGCAACTTGATCTTGAATAATTGGGTTGGGCGCGCTCGTGGTGAACTGGAAAGTGCACTTAAGCTGAAAGAGGATTTGTATCCGCTCCTTCAGGCTTATCGGCCGGAGCTGGTTGCGGAACGCTTGCTGTTTTCAAACTCCGAGGCTCGACGCGTCTTTGGGGTTTCAGTCGACAGGATTAGTTTCGAGCAACGGGATGGATTGCGTCAACAAGTTGCGTCTTGTGCCCTCGTGACACCCGACGCAATGCCCAAGAGTTCAATGATTTCATTGCTCTATTCCGAGGCCACGGTTTCAACAGCCAGACAGTCGATATTCAGCTCGCGCCCGGATAAGAGCGCGTCGCCATTAGCAACGACGGCGTACGAGAGATGGTTGTCAGGCCGTGCTTCATCAGAACTATCGAATAACCGGCAAAGCAACATTCTGGATGGCTGGAAGCAACTGGCGAATCGAAACGACGGTGGGAAGGCCTTGGAAGGCCTGCTTTCCAATAGAGCAGCGGGCTTTTCAGAGTTCGATGTTGATACGACCAGGGCTTTGCTTGAACCAATCACTGCGGCCATCACGCAAACGAGGACAGCAGAGCGGGCCATTACCAGTGCTGGCAAGCGTACTCGCTACAAAGAGCTACTGCGCGCAGCAAACATACCGTTTGGGCAAATCGAGATGCCTTTCAGGAACTTACTGCGATCACTGGCAGATGGGTCTCCTGTCCGCCTAGATGCAGGAAGCATGCTCTATCTGGGAGGGCTGGCAACTCAATTTTTGGATGAATGCCGGGTCGATATACGTGCGGACCAAAGGGTGGCGGTAGCACAGCTCGCGCATTCAGCCAAACTGCGCGCAGCCGCTGCTGCGCGCTACTGGAGTACAGAATTTGGTGCCGCGGTACGCGAGCAGATCGAAGGGCAGGTTGTCTTCACAGCGGGCGTTGAATCAGCCCGCGTTATCGGCTGTGGAGGCGCGGACCCAATGCTGAATATGGTCGCTGACGTCGCGAGCGAGAGCAAAGTTGCAGCAGACGGGGGAGTCTCACTGTTTGTGCGTTCGTGCGTACCCGCCCGGACCGAGCTTCAGTGCCGATGTATCGCTCAGCAGGGTCAAGCGGTCATCCCTGATATTCATCAGCGTCGCTACTCACCCGAGTTGCTTCGATCTATCGTTCAAGGAAACCTGTTGGCGGGCACATCGATGCTAATGCTGTGTGGCGTGCAGAAGTACTAGGGCCTGTTAACACTAACGCAACGCCTCGGTTTTTAAGTAAGCTGTCCGATTAAGTCTGAACTTCTACACGTTAGGTTATTCCCGGGTCTACGCGCCAGCACCAGTTATTTCGTACTTCGACAGAATTTTGGGGCAATTCTCTAACGTTACTTTTGGCACTAATGTACGACTACCCCCAACTCCCACAGTTTTGCACACCCTCGGCTACATGGTTTATGGACGCCTGCGTTAAGGTTTTGGCTCGATGACAACTGCGGGTTTACCAACAACCAACCGCACTTTGCCGGTATGAGTATTTGGGGTTGAATTGAATTCTCGGCAGATCGCGGGACTCCCGGTACAAATCTCTTGATACTGAAAAGTGCACACATTCTCTTTGCACTCCCCATATTTTATATCGCCGTAGTAAGTACTAAAGGTGCCTGCGCCCAATAGAACATTGAAGT